TTAACACAGATCTTAAGCAGTGTTGTTGGTTGCGAGGGTGTTTTCAGGCCTAGTTCAAGGGGCTGATTTTGAACAGTGGTATCTGAGGTATTTCAGCAAGCAGCTTCCTCCAGCCTGGAACTGTGATGAGCTAATGAAAATCTTCTTGAGGTACCATGATTTTCATGCATTAAATGTAGTTAACGCAGTTAAGACCAGGGTCTTTTTGTGAAAGGATCCTGAATTATGTTGAGAAAATGCAGAAGATCAGAATTTTTCTTGCCTTTCTCTGGAAAAGGGTGGAAATCTGACTTTGTGGAAGTTCTGGAAGTTTTGAGAAGTTGATTTGGGCTCAGCTATGGCTCTTGTTTTCATGTTGCCAATCTCTGGGTGTGAATTGCTATTCTGATTTTGAGATGTTACCTTTTATTACATGTACATGTTTCCATCTGAGCAGCCTTCAGCATAATCCTGCTGAAAAGCAATGTAGAACAGTATACCAATTCTGTAAAGAAACAAGGATCAGGGAGCAAGCATGCCCTTTGGGGAGAAGGTCCTGCAGTGGACGGCCTACTGTGCCATCATTTTCTGTTGTTGCAGGTGATGACTAGAGTTTCTTGCACTGGGTGCCTCATCAATTGTAGTGCCTCTCCCTAGATGCAGGGAGGGTATCTGGTAGTGCATTGCCTCAGATGAGCCTGACCTTTCCAGTGTTACCAGTGACTTGCCAGCTGGGAGGAGGTGGTTAACCTGGGAGAGAAGGTGGTGCATCCAAACTAAACTGGTTCCTATCCCACATATATAAGATCTCTTCCTCTGTTTAAATGACCTCGAAGGATATGATGTTGATCCTTGCTATCCATCTGGGAATCCCGCCATTCTGCTTATGAATAAACACTGTTGAATATTCAGTGAATCCCATGGCATGATTTAGAGATACTTTGATCCTGTTTGCTGTGTCTTAATTTATAAAAGAGCAGGTGCTGCTGGCTCAGCTGCAGTAATATGTCCAACAGGGAATGGTGACAGTGATCTTCCCTGATTCTGCCTCAACAGACTTTGGGTATAATTATTTTAGAGAGCTTCCTAAGTCATAGGAATGTGATATGCATCACAACTGCACATTTACAACCACTCAAAAAGTGAGGTGATAGGGTGGTAGGATGCAGTAATGCTCAGCTCATTCTGAATCCCCGTGTGACAAATATGAGTGTGAACTCACCTGTTCTTGGACCATGGAGAATTGTGTCTAACATGATAAGCAGGGAACTCACCCAGCTCAAGTTCTTGGGTCTGAGATGCAGGACAGGTGCAAGGCGTTGCTTAGCCACATGAGGGCATTGTCTGCATGGCTAATTCTAGCTTCCTGCTTTCATTAGAAAACCGATCCACTATCACTGGGAGAGATCTACACTAGAGCCCCTCCTGTTTATGAGGGAGTACAGTCTTGGTGTTTACACAAAATGCATTTACCACCAGACAGGGCAAGTGCTAATGAAAACAGCCCTGCTGGAAACAGGTGCTTTCTGTCCCATGCAAATGCAATTACAAGAGCAGTAAGCAGAGTTGGAAAGGTGAGGTGTGCAGAGAAATGTGTGCACGTGTGCTTTAATTACCAGGCTCCATGTGAAGGAGTGAAGGAGCTAGGATTTTTTTAAAGGTTTACCGTAAGATTGCTCCTTCTTCCCCCTCACAATTAGTCTTGGAGAAGGGAAAGGCAAGGGGGAGGCTGGGGTGCTGCTTGCTGCTGTCTTCCCATGGGGTGAAGCCAGCAGGACCAACAGCCCATTCCTTTCCCCCTGAAAGCAAGCAGTGCAGCCCCTCTCCTTTCTTTTCCTCTTTTTTTGAGCAGGAGGACACAGGAGGAAAGTTGGGGGAAGGAGAGCCATGGAGGGGTGAGAAGACAGGTAAGCAACAGAAGGAGCTCCTCATGTCCAAGAAGCTCTGATAGCACACTTTCTCTCCCCACCAGTGCTGCAAGTTTAGCACACACTGATAATATATACCAGGGAAAACCCACAACATATAGAAAAGCCATGATGTCACTGCTCTGCAGAAATCCAGGCTATAATGGCATCAAGCGGGACAGCTTGGGGTGAGTAACATGTGCCATGCCAGTGAGTCAAGCGTCAGAATGGCAGTGAAAAAGCCCAGTGGAGATATTGCCCCTGGGCTGACAATTCCTGTGTGAAGTCTATAGGGGCAGCATGTTGTTTCAAACCAGAGAAACCTCCTTATTCCAGAAAAATAGTCTTTGTCACAAATTTCCCACCCATCCACTCCATCCAAAAACAGAACAGTTAATTCTGGCAACTTTTCCAGGGGGAAGACGTGCTTGTACCCACAATAACATGCAGGTTGGCCATCTTTCTGCCCTGGCTGGCTGTAGGTGACTGAAGGGTTCATTCTGGAGAGACTGGGGGGAAAGTCTGTGAAGTTAGAGGGAGGACATGGCGGCTACGTGAGGCATTTGTTGCAGTCCTCACTCACTATGGCACCAAGCAACTCTGGTGTGTTGCACAATTCTACTATACCTCAGTGCCACCTAATGGTTATGCAGCAAATAGAAGGCAGAGAAACAAAACCCCTGCTGGGAGGTAGGGAGAACACTTGTAAAGGAACTTAATCGCACCAAGAATCCAGAAGCAAAAGCCTCAAGGGCAGCCTAAAAGCTTCATATAAAGGAGCCTTGATCAAAATAGTCCTAAGCTTGTGTCCCAACTTCAGTGGGATTTGTAAATCATCCTGAAACTATTGCTGGTTTTAAAGAGACCTTCAGTGCTTCAGATGAGGCTTTTATTTGCACAACCGCTCCTAATCCTGCTGTGTTTTCCCACCACTCCATCTATATTTTTCCTTACTATGGAAAATGTATTAAGGAAAAAATATTATACAATAGTGACACAGGGCCTTCTGCTAGGATCCCTCCATGTAGGAACATCCCCAGCTGCTGACTTTCATTAGTCCAACTTACTATTCGTACTGAAGAACTGAAAAGCTGGGAGCAACAATGGCACAGAAGTACTGTGAATTACGCCAGCCTAGATTAATGTTAGAGCAGCCCTATTAGATCAACCCAATAGTCCATCCAGTCTTTCTGCTACCCAGACACCCTGCTCACAAGCCCTGCTTGGTCTCCCATTCTGGGACACTGTTCCACAGTCATCCGGTTTAGGGAGCTCTGACTATCTGGCCCATGTATGAGAAGCACAAGCTTGCTCCTAGTTACTTCTCAGCATTCGCAAAACAGGGCTTTTTTGCTTTCCACAGCTACAAAACAGATAGAAACGCCTAAGATGAAGCTTCTTCCGCTATGCAAGTTAGGAAAACACTCTGGCTTGTTGTGCAGTTTGAAATGTTGTAGAAATCCTGCTAGAAGAACATTAGCAACCTTATTACCATATTTTTGATTTTCTTTTTCCTCCCTCATATTTCTACTAATTACTTGTTATCTTTCCTTAGTGGCAATACCACCTACCCACATCAGTCCTTGCTCTGTGACAGGGATGCCAAAGCACAAGCATCTTACTTTAGCCTGTTCAACCCAATACTCTAACTCGGACAGTCCTTTGTGAAATCTGAAGTAACGCTCATTACAATTCCTGGTATACGTGCTGAGATATGAATAGGCTCTGCCATTTTAAAATCTCATACAGCTGTCAAGAGTCCCATGATCTCATGGCCCCTCTTAATGAGTGCAGGCAACCTAGACCCCATGGAATCCCTTGAATGTTTATTGGGGGATAGAATAACCACGACAGAATAACCACAACAAGCATCTTGCAAGGCTGCCTATAGTTAGAACTCTGGCTCACGCGTCTGTCCTTCCTAAGCAAGGCAGCATGCTGGCCCTGTCCAGTGGGCCCAGTTGTCCTCTCGCCCTCTGCCACTTGCTCTCCTAGTATATCTGCCTGCGGTCGCCAACCTAAACAGAGGCCTCAATTTAAGATTGGTGTGGTTTTCTTCACATACCCCAAGAGCTCAGCTGTAACTGGCAAGAACTGGCCTTCTGATTTGCAAGGCTGCAGAACAGATTTGTTAGCAGAGCAGCTGAGTGCTAGAAGGGGCTCGGGGTGAGTTTTTTGTTCTTTGTGGAGCACTGGGATCTCAGTGCTGTGACAAAACAGGGGAAGCGGTGAATTAATAGCACTGCGTAGAAAAGCCCAAAGTGATTTGAGGAGTATTTGTAAGCTACCCAGGATTTTTTTCTTATGGCAAGGCCATAAAATACGGCCACACATTATAGCTGCAATAGGGTAATACACAACTTGTCTCTTTGGGAAAAGAAAGCCCTGATTCTTGGCTTTTTCACACTGTCAAGGACAAAAATGCTGTAAGGGATTTTGACCGGTATGTTCATAATTTTGCAGTTCTGTTCTTAGTAAACCTCTGTCACAGTAAAGATCTGGATTTCTCAGATTAGGTGGGTAACTCCCCATAATGCTTTGTGTGGCCAAAAGCTGCAGACAGTTTGCCATTCCAGATGAGTAGTTTATTGTGAATAGGTTAGCCTCTGAAGTTCAACATAATCCTTTAAACTTTAATATGATGATAAATGAATTGTATCACATACAGTTTCCCACTGGAAGATGTAGCCCTTGTAGTCCTTTTTGATAATTATGAACATAATGCATTGCAAGGAATGGAAGTTTGGTCCCTGCATTTGGAAATTTCCTCCTTCAGCCACCAGAGGTCACACTTCAGGGACAATCAGGCTGCTAGAGAGACACTTTGGAGAGTGGCTTACATGTAACCATTCCCTTAGACTGTGGCACCCTGAATATGTCTTTCTTTTCTTTTCATCACTTCTGAATTTAAAGACCTTTACTATGAAGGAGGCCAGACAGGTCTAAATTGAACACCTTGTGGAGGCAGTGTTCATTTCTCTAAGTCCAAAGGTTTAATTTCTAAGATGAATGCTATTTCTTTATTCCAATATCTGCTAGGAAAGATTGTTGTTTCAGCCACCTGCACATTCGTTAGTGCTTCAGACTGTAACACAAAGTAGAAAACTAACCAAGTCTTTATGCAAAGCACAATTTATTTTCTATAGGGGGTGACTGAGGAAAGATTACAGGAGTACTACAGTTTTCAAACCATCCTAGAGAGACATATGCATTTTGCATACATTCCCAGCTTCGGTCCTGTAGTGCATTCACTCTTCACTTTCTAGCACCACCTGCAAAGAAAAAAAGGTAAGTAAATTATGTAAATAATTTTAAATCATACATGGGGCCTGACTGAACACAAAGCTTCTCTGCTCAACCGGGCAAAGGCTTGCTCAGAGCCTGTGGAGAAGGGTCCACTGCTTCACCCACCACTTTTTAAATCACGCCCCAAGTAAGCCGTTCTTCACTGAGGGAGAGTCACGCTACTGCTGTGTTGGGATGACTGCATCTTGATGTGATGAGCTAAGATATAAACAAGCTTCAGCTGTTTCACTTGTCCCCTCTTGCCAGCTAGCAAAGAAGCCAGGAAGACATCAGTGACCTATAGTTTCCCATTACATCTAAACTGGGAAACTATGGTTAACAGCTTTGGGATGTGTCAGGAAGTAGAGTCATAGTTTAAAGTTGGCTTCATATCCTGGTTTGTGCTGAACTGGGTGACCATAGCTCCTTGATTCAGAAGTAATAGGAGACCATGGTCCCTGTTTGCTCATGGAAAGGGAGATGCAGTTGCATGTGGGGCCACAAGGCTGCTTCCTGTCTTGGGCTACCAAACTGATGGGACAACCCTATTGAGTGGAAATATGAGCAGGTGAATGTGGCCAGCCTTTGAAATATAAAAGGAGAGCAACTTGCATATGAGTTGAAGCTTCTTAGGGGATGACAAGCAACTTCCTCAAGTTCTCAGGCTGGCATAGGATGGATTTTACCTCTGCAGTGAGTCTAGCTAAGGGATCAAGCAAAGTGGTATTGCTTGTCTCGACACGCCCAGAACAACGCGCTTTCCCACTTCGACTGAGGCTGCAGCGCACCCGCCCATTCGCTCAGCCTGTCCACGTGGCCAGGCTGCCAACCCTCACTCATGCAGTCAGACAGCCATTCCGCTCACTTCTGCTTGTAGTCCACCTGCTCCCCCCTTGTGCCCCCCTGTGGAGCTCTCGCAGGAGCTCAGATGACCTCTTGCACAAGCTTCGTGGCTGGGGTACAAGGTGGGAGTGATCGAACAAGGGAAGGAGCAGCCGCAATCGATGGGCCAGCCAAGCAGGTGGGAAGGTGGGGTGGGTCACTGTGAGAAGGAGCCCTGGCAGCGCAGCCAGGAAGTTGCTCAGGCTAGCCCTGCCAATCGATTTCTGGCTGCAGAAAAGCCCCCACCAGGAAGGCGGCTGAGAGGGCTCCCCAGTTCAGCTGCTGGAGGCAGTGGAGGATGCTCCTGGCCAAGGGGAGAGTGGCACAGTGCACTGCTGTCCCCACTCTGCCACCTGACGCAGATGCAGCAGCCCACAGAAAGGGAGGGCTGGCCCTGTGTCACGTTATTCTTAGACACACCCACCAACACCATCAGGCAAGTGGTGGTTTTTGTTTTGTTTGCCCATCCAAGTGTGCAAAAACTACACGTGGTTGGGAAAGAGAAACCTGCCTGCCTGCTTCTTGGGTGTCCAGTCTTGTCCCCAGAGCTATTTCACCTCCACATACTGGATGTAATATTTGCACAGGGTCGATGCAAAGAATCCACTGTGTATAAGCTCCACGTCTGCAAACTTTGCACCCCAAATGATGCATAAGGATAGTGTGGCTCAGGCCTCTGAGGCATAATCCCACTTCCCCATTGCAAATATTTGTATGAATGGGTCTTCAATGAGGTCTTACAAGACTATCCATCCTGCAAAAACCTGAAGTATGGCAGGGGAATTCTTCACACTAGTCATGTGGATTAGCCTGCAGCATCCCAATTGGACAGTGGGGCCCATTCAGAGCCTTGCCTTCACTTGAAGTTGCTTTGCCCATAGAATGCAGTCTATAACCTGAAGCCAGGCTGTCCCAGCTTGCCCAATTTCCATGGGCTGAGTCTTATGGAAGCCAGAGTATTTGAAGCTCTACTGATAGGGTGACTTTAGCTGTTTCCTCCACTCCACACAACACTTCTAATGGCAGACATTCCCTGGTTGTTTCTCATTCATTGTGGCAGCCCTGATTTGTGGGCCGCTGCTTCCTCCAGATGGCATATATGGTTTGGCATCTGACATGAAGAAGCCCTTACCTTTTTGATAGTAACTTCTCTGGTCTTTGCTCGGAGCTTATTGACCTGAGACTCAGCAATATCAGCCCTTTCCTCAGCCTCTTCCAGCTCGTGCTGTGTTTTCCTGAATTTGGAGAGGTGCATGTTGGCCTGTTCATCCTGCAGCCAAAAATGAATCACACACACAAAATATTCAGCCCAAAAAAGCAAGTTCAGATGCTAGTGTCAAAACAAGAACCTCACACTTTTTTTCAAGTGACAAAACAAAAAAGATGTTTAAATAACTCACAGCCTCCTCCGCTTGTCTCTTGTAAGACTTGACCTTGAGCTGAAGCTTATCCACCAAATCCTGTAGCCTAATTACATTCTTCCTGTCCTCTTCACCCTAGAAAAGTGGTAGCACATTAGCTGAGACATGTATTTGTCAAGGGAGAGAAGGGCTGGGCAGCAGTGCTCTTGCAATTGCCCTTACCTGGAAAGTCAGCTCTTTGACGCGCCGTTCGTACTTGCGAATACCCTTGATGGCTTCTGTAGCTCGCTTCTGCTCTCCCTCAAGCTCTGACTCCAGCTCTCGAATCTAAGAGGGCAAGCAAGACATGCTATAGGAGGTCCTGGACTGCAGAGAACTCTGCATTGTGCCACCAGTCCTTGACCCCAGCATTTACCCTGGCCTCCATTTTCTGGATCTGCTTCTTTCCCCCTTTCAGGGCCAGCTGCTCTGCCTCATCCAGACGGAGCTGCAGATCCTTGACAGTCTGGTCCAGGTTCTTCTTCATCCTCTCCAGGTGGGCACTGGTGTCTTGCTCCTTCTTCAGCTCCTCTGCCATCATGGCCGCCTTGAAACATAGACAGAAGATTCCAACCAACAGGAACCAAAGTCAGTGCATTCAAGACAAAGGACAGGAGCTCAGCAGAGCTTGAAACTGAAACAACCAACCATAGAGGACCGTGGCTGCTGCTCCTGGCCCTAGCTGGGTCTCAAGCTGACTTTTCCCCTCCTGAGTCTTCTCTAACTGGGTTAGGGAAGGGAGCAGAGGCCAAGGTCGCTTACTCTCCCAGCTGCTCTCCCTTCTGAGGGAGCAGGGCTCCAAGAGGGGAGGACTCCCAGAAAGTGCCTCCCCAAGGCATTGTGGGTCATGTAGGATAGCCTGAGGGGCCACATTGGGTCCACTGGTGTCATACTTCATAGTGTGGAAAGTCGCTGGCCACCTGAGCCTTGCACAAGGAAGCAGCAGGTCTACGTCGCTGCCTCACACATGCATGTGCCCGGCTGCATCAGGCTGCCTCATGGAAAAATGGCTCCCATAGAGCTGCAGGCATGCCTGAAGGGCAATGTGTGCAAGGTATTTAAATCCATCATTTCTATGGTATATTACCAAGCTGGTTACCTCTGCTCCTCATAGAAGCTCTGTGCATTAATCATTATACTGCAGGAAAAAACTGAATAGGCATTGCAGTGCAATTAAGTGATGAGAAAGACGTACACCGTGGCTTGCAAATGACAACATGCTAGTAACAAAACCAGGGTTTGAAGCAGGCTGCCTTGTTAAGCTGAATGCAGACCCGTTTTTTTTTTTTTTTTCTATTTGATAATGTATGTGTTAATAGAGCTCTGCCCTTTTAATTTTTCTCCTGAAGCTTTATAAAAATTCTCCTCAAATAACACCACCATTAGTTGGGTAACTTACGCTGATTTTCAATGGAGCCAAATGCAGAAATGTAAGCTAAAGGCCCAGCTGCTTTCCCTACTAGATGAATGGCTGCTGATTTGGAGCAAGATGATTTGCTGCCTCTTTCTGTATGTGTGCATGGCGCATGGAGGGGGGGTGCATTTCTTCCAAAATAGTCTGTTAGCATCACAGCTCTGTGGCAAGTACTAGAAGGGAACAGAAAGGAAGTTCTTACATCTGTGATGGCCTTCTTTGCTTTCTCCTCTGCATTTCTGGCCTCTTTGATGGCATCTTCTACTTCACTTTGAAGTTGAGAAATATCAACTTCCAGCTTCTTCTTCGTATTAATAAGGCTGGTGTTCTAAAGAAAAGAGAGTGGATGTTTTTGTGTCTTTCTGCAGTTAATTCCCAGTAGTGATTGGGGTGTTATTCCACCGTAGCTCAGAGACCAAGTACCCCTGGTTAACAAATGTTGGGGCAGCCATCTGTGCTGTGCTCTGCTTGGGAGCATCACTGGAGCATTTGGCTGTCCAAGACCAGCAGTATGTTTTGATAGTGATAGCCATATTCCTTAGCAGCCCATACCTGTGTGTGCAGAAGCTGCACTCGCTCCGTGGCATCCAGGAGCTCTTGTTCAGCGATTTTCCTGCCCCGCTCTGTCTGCTCCAGAGCTGCCCGGAGCTCCTCAATCTCAGCCTGCATCAGGTTGGCTCTCCGCTCAATCATGGCCAATTGCTCCTTTAGATCTTCTTGTCCTCGAAGAGCATCATCCAAATGTAGCTGTGTGTCCTAAAAACACACACAAGGAAAAGGGCTCAGTAGGACTGATCAAAATCATTCTAAACACACCCCAAAAGGATCAATGAATAAGTATGTACTTTGAGCTGTCCTTGGACATTCCTGAGGTGTTTCTGTGTCTCAGCTGCAACACGGTTGGCATGGCTCAGTTGGATTTCCATTTCATTGAGATCTCCCTCCATCTTCTTTTTAATCCGTATAGCTTCATTCCTGCTACGTATTTCTGCGTCCAAAGCACTTTGCATTGTTTCCACAGTTCTTTGGTGGTTCCTCTTCAGCTGATCGATTTCTTCATCTTTCTCAGCTATCTTTCTGTCAATCTCAGATTTCACCTGAGTCAACTCAAGTTGAACGCGAAGGATTTTCGCCTCCTCGTGTTCAAGAGCTGCCTATTGAAGGAACATTGGAGAACAAATAAATCCAGAGGAGGAAACACCTATTTCTTGAGATGTTTTCTCCTACTGATCTCATACCAGTGGAATAAAACACCGGCTAATGTTCTATCACCAACATGGAAGATCTTTCAGAAACTTTCTGAAAAGAGCAGGTATGATGTGATATAGGAAAATTACATGTCCACATCCTTCATAGCTCAAAAGGTGATGGGCTCATTTGCTAAGCAAATGGTTATAGGACAATGCTCCGCTTTGATTGTTGTGCTTTGCTGGAATTAGCTGAAATGAATGAGCATTTCCCCTGCTGCCCTTGGCTACAAATACCCAAGGAAGAGCATCATTAATTACCATTTGAATTTGATTTCCTACTCTTTATAGATAGCTCACCTCTGCTTCCTCTAGAGCCATCTGCATTTCTGATTTCTCCACTTCTATTTGCTTCTTGGCCTTTTCAAGTTCATGGATAAATTTGCCATTTTGAGCAATTTGTTCTGTAAGGTCAGCTATTTCCTCTAGAAGAAGTCAAAACAAAACAAAACATGCTCAAATGGTTGACAAAATGAAGTCAGAAGAATGAAATGCCTGGAGAATGACCATCATGTACATCCATGCAAAGAGCTGCTGCATACAAACCGACATAAGCAGAGGTAAGACTGATGTCTTCTTCTCTCAGCTTCTGGAAGAGATGCTTTTTCCCTACTGATCTGATTACAAATCTCCATTTTTGTGCACCAGATCTCCCCAGACAGAATGTGTGAACCATGCAAATATGGCTGCAGTTCCCATGATGATGGAACACTTTTCCACAATCACAGGAAATTCTATCAGCTCTACCCATGATAATCACCTGGCTCACACTTTAGGCATGTCTGGTGCTGGCCCTAGACATTTTGCTGCCTAAAGCAGAGAAGCAAATTGTTCCTTTCACCCCATCCCCAAGCCAAGGTACACAATGCCCAAAGCCACACAAGTTATTTTGTCACAAGAGGCAGAAAATCCCACAAATACATTTCCCGTGTAATATGCAATATTAACACAATTAAAAGTAGAAGCATAGCAACAGCAAATAAGCATCTGCTGCCTTTCTTCACACTCCCAATCCACTGCCTGAAACAGCTGTGCATTCTCTCTAATGGTAGGGCCTGCCCTTTGTGTGTCCACGGGAGCAGACTGCCAGGGAAGTTTGGAACAGCTCACGTGGTTGGGGGGGTGGGGGGGAGCTATGAAGTCAAACTAATTCTTGTTGCCAATGCTTCCCAGAAATCACTCTGAAAGAAATCACAGAAAGAAATGGGTGTGCCTAAAAACTAAGTTATTGGTGGTACTGGGTTAATCTTGCCTTCTCACAGCATGGGAGGGGGAATGCAGAGAAATGGGAATTCTGAAGGCTAATGTTATTTTAAGGTCCACAATGTGAGGTGCTTTGACTTGATTAACAGCTGTACTCCTGTCTTAGTCCTCTCCTGATTTTTGGCTTCAGTGCTGAAGAGATCAAACCGTGAGGTATCGCGACTCAGTTGGTGCCGTTTTTCATGCCATTGAAGGTACAGTGATGGAAAATTTCTGCCTGTTGTACCGCCACTAAAAGCACAAGAAGTTGCCAACCCTGGCTCAATCCCAAGACTATCTGCACTTGTGGAGTCAACATTTCTCCAACACCAGGAAAGAAGATCAAGTAACACACTTACGCTGCAAATTCTTGTTTTCCCGCTTGATTGTTTCCAGCTGATCCAATGTTTCCTCATAGGCATTCTTCATTTTGAAGAGCTCAGTGCCCAAGGACCGCGATTCCTTCAAAGCACCTTCCAGTTCTGACTGGCTCTCCTCATATTTGGCCTTCCATTCTGCCAAAATCTTAACACCCAGTGTGCTTATGTTAGTTAGTTAATATATTTATTTTGCCTATGTCTTTTCTTCCCTAAAGGGCTTCCCATTCTTGGATATCATCAGGGGGAAAACAGTTGCCGTTCATGTGGCACTTCTTTACCTCCTATGTATCCTCTAGCATGGCAGAACAGTAATCCAAAGTAAGGGACAGTCCTGGCTAACAAAAATGCACACAACGACTCCATAACCCCTGATCCTGGATATCCTCCAACAGCCTTCCCTTTGCCCCCAGTTGTCCCTTGGCCTAGAACATTCTTCTTGTCCAACGTTCTTGATGGAGGGGCACCTGTCCCTCCATCACATCCTCAACATATGGGCATGATTTCCATGTCCCAGGGCAAGTTCCAAAGGTACATGGTACAGTGATCTTCCTGCAACTAAGCATGTTCAGGTCTAATTTGTTTGTTGGACTGATTGGTTTTTAGCCCACCTTTTTCTTTCTTAAAGCACTCTAAGTGTCTTACATCATTCTCCTCCTGCTGCTTTCAATCTTATCTCCACAACAACAGCCCTGCTTGGCAGACTGGGCTGACTGTCTGGGACTGGTCCAAGGTCACCCAGTTGGCACCATGGCCAAGTGGGGTCTAGAACCCAGATTGGCTCAGTCCTAGACTCATGCTCTTAACCAGTACACCACACTGGCTCTCTGGAGATTTGAGACTCAGGCCTGAGTCAGCTCTGAGTAGAGTGACAAAAATCAATTAATCTGATTTAGAAAGTCCTTTAAAGACCACGCTATAAATTGGTTTTTAATTATTTGTTTAAAAAATGGAAGGCAAGACAAGCCCCTGCTAATCAACCCTGACTACAGGCCTGGTAGAAACCTTATTTTCTTCCATGAGTTCCATGGTGGAAGAAAAGCAGACTGCTAAAATAAAAGTGTGAAACAGCTGTCACAAACAGAGCATTCAAAAGTGTGAAACAGCTGTTTCAAACAGAGCATTCATTTCACCCTAAAGCATATCAAACATACAGCAAGTCACAGACTGGTGAGACCCAAGTGGTTGAATTAGCCCTGAGCCAGGAAGCCTGAACAGCTTCACAGCCATATAAAGTCTTGGGGGAGCTATCAGCAGCCATGGCCTGTGCATGGTGCCCCATTCTGGAAATCTGGGCCATGTTGCCAGTGCCACAGAATGGGCTTTAAAAATCCTTTCAATAGGTAGAAGTAAAGCCAGGTTCAGTATCAAGTGCTTCCTCTTATGTGAATTAGAAGAAAGATATAAGTTAAGGACTGATACCTCAGAGGGGAACTATTCAAAATGTACCTTGTCAAAGTTCCTTTGCTTCTTGTCCAGGGCAGCTGCCTGTGCGTTTGCTCTCTCCACGTCTACCATGAGGTCCTCCACTTCACACTGCAACCTCTGTTTTGTCTTCTCCAGGGAAGCACACTTGGAATTCACCGCTTCAACTTGCTCTTCAGCCTCTTGAAGCCGTTGAGCAAGTTTTTTCCTTAAGGAAGTCAGATCATAATGATGACAACCCATGAAGTCCTTAGATCCTCTGTCCATTTGCCCTTCTCAACATGGGTAACTTAAGATACCAGCCTCCATGGTTAGCAGGACCCCACACACTGTGGTGCCATTCTTCTCTAGCAAAGTAAAGCACCAGCCAATGTATGCATGAAGTCCCCATAGTGCAACTGCTTACAAAAAAATAGAACTGGAACTCCTAACTCATCTCTTTGAGCAAAGAGCCTGGTTCTCCCTTGCCACTTGTCATGCCTCGCAGTCTGGGCCATCATGTTGATCTGAGGCAGTAAAGAACGCAGTGAAAGGCTAGAGGGCAGGACAAGGCGTGGCGCTCCCGCACCTCCTCCTAGCTCCATACCACCTCACTGTCAAGCTGCATGGCTGTGATCAGATTTGAAATGCCAGCTGTTCCCCCCTGTTCTATCCCATTATAGCTCTGCTACCAAAAACATAGCAGCTGAATGGGTGAGAAAGGCAAAGCTTAGTTTGCATTATTTTATGTTAATTAATACCAGTTGACCCAGCCTGCTTTCAATTAATGCCATTGATCGTTGGGATGTGTTCTGTTCACTGGGCCAGCAATTATGAGCATCACGACAGAATGCATAAAAAGTGAGGGTTAACTCCTCTAAGAACCAAATTGATCTATATTATCATATCCTTTTAAACCAATCACATCGAGCTTTGCCCAAGACATGGGCATGAATTAGAGCTTGGAGAGAGCCATGCACGAGCACCTGTGGGATGGTTCGCAAGGTTCTGGCTCCCAAAGGAAGTATAGCTGCACTGTGTGCTGTATCTCATCTTACATTCTGGCATGTAGAAAATGGTCCACATTTGTTTTCATGATTTTTCCCCAGTGTAAAGTACAGGTGCAGTCTTCCTAACCTAGACAGGGTTCACAGCAAAAGTCAAAGCCTCCTCCCCTTCCCCCATCTGAGGGTCCCAATCCACCCACCAGTGCTTAATATCTTTCTGTGAGCTACATATTTAAGGTAAAGTTTTGTTTGGTCTCCACAACAGATGTTTAGCTTGTAATTCATCTGAGCATTGCAAACGTATCCTGAATTATGAATTTAAGCGATATCACAAATTGCTTAGGTGCTTCAGCTTTTAATCAGTCAATTTTATTTATTTTATATCTTTAATCGAAGAAATTAAGAAAATTGTAATTTGGGGGTTTTCACCCTTTTTAACTGCCCAGAGAGTTTTAGCTCTTGGATGGTACAGAAATGCAACAGATGAAATAAAAGTGAAAAATTGGCCAAGGCCATGTGTAAGCACGATTGCCAACTTTTGCTTCCTGACCCAATACTTACTTGGCCTCTTCTAGTTCTTCTGTGCGCTGGATGGCATCAGTCTCATATTTGGTCCTCCACTGAGCCACTTCGCTGTTGGCCTTGGACAGGGCGCGCTGGAGCTCACTCTTGGCCTCTTGCTCCTCTTCATATTGCTCCCGGAGTAGGTCGCAGTCGTGGCGAGCAGACTGCAAGGCGTGGGCCAGGGCATTCTTTGCCTAGGAGTTCACAGCACACCACATGTCCGTTTATAACCGAACACAACTGATAGCATTTGTTCTCCTCAGGACTACTCTTGGACAGCAGGTGATGCCTGTGGCATTTTGTGTCATCTGTGTAAGCCTCTTGCATCAGAATAGAGATATCTCAATTAAAATCAGCATGTCAGAGGCTAGACTAGTTTATTCACACAACACTTGGGCAGTTCCCAGTCCTGGAGAGGTTTAGACATGTTCATGAGTGTGTTCCAATAGTTTTGGATTCCCCTAATGGCTTGTTTATCCTACAAGAACTGCAGACTAAGTGCTGTACTAATTTGTGAGTTACCTACTTATGCAATGCAGTTGTGGTGAATTGTAGTGGTAGCTCAGTGCCTTGGTCTGCATCAGTGATAACGGTACCTGACATGTACAGACTAAATCAAAAAGCTCAGGTAATGAATTGGTATTTAGTAAATGCAGAGAAGACATAATGCATTAATCATACAGTCCTCAACACAATTTCCACCAAGTTCAGTGGAACTTTTACCCAAGTAAATGTGCTTAGGACTGAAGCCTAAATAGCTGTAGAGACTGCCTGCCAGCATGTGATGCTGTTACATCCCATGATGCAGGCAAGTTTCTGCTGGTCCATGAACAGGCATAGCTCTACAGTGATGAAATTGTACTGTATACTGAAAGAGTGCAGCTCTTTGGTATTGAAGTAAAAGAGGAGAAAGAGCGTTGAAGAAAGTACTGAAGGCAGAGACAGACAGACAGCAGACTTCACACTGCCTAGCACACTCTACTTAAACATACCTTGGTCTCTTCCTCTAGCTGTCTCTTCAGTTCTTCTATTTGCTGGGTGAATGCTTGCTTACTTCTGGAAAGCTGAGATATTATACTCTCTTTCTCCTCAAGTTGACGTGACAGTTCACCTTTGAACAAAGAAGACAAACTATTTATTTATTTATAAATTAATTAAATAATAAACACCCTAATTTTCCTCCTTATGCAATTTGGCAAAGAGAAGCTGATGTCACTGATGCTCAATAAAACATCAAGTATGATTCCATAACTAACACTTACAACACAGGCACTAATGGCTATGAGAATTGTTACTCCGAACTCTGCTTTTCTCAGATGTCCCACTCCAACCAAAAACCAGGCATGTTGCATTTGGTTGTTAAGCCTGGCCTAGGATGTGACGCACAACCTGCAGCCTGGGGGGGGGGGGGGGGCAGTCTGCAGCTTGGGGCTACCGGAAGCCACCCAAGACCTTTATTGTGTTCCCAGGGTGCCTGGTCTCATTATCACTGCTGAATTTCCTGATATCTGCCCTCTCTACTCCCTCCCTGACAGACCCTTAGATATAACCCCTTTCCTTCCTCTGGGGCTGGCAGTGAGGAAAGAGCCATCTGGATCCAAAAAACTGGGAGAGGGATGCTGAGAAAGCTCTTTACCCTCTACTCCAGTAATCCCTGCATACAGATCCCTGAGATGCAAGCATGTGCAATTATGTGTGCATGTGCAAGTGCTGTCCCAACTCCCAAACCAACACCACATGTAGCCTTGAGAGCTGCAGTGAGCCCCCCTGCCTCAGAAGGACCAGTGCACAAACCTTCCTAGGGAATGCAGTTCCCAATATAAAAACCCTAAACCCAGAAGTGGCATTCCATTTCATTTATTATATTTCTGTTCTGCCCAGTAACTGAAGCTCTTTGGGCAGTTTGCAAAGATTAAACACTTCAGAAATAGCATAAAACCATTTACATGCAGGCACATAAACAGACGGGAGGCACAGAGATGTGCCTCTATCTGAAACGGTTGTATCAGTCAGCAGTAAGGTAAATTCCAGACCTGATTACAATCTCATCAGAGGCTGGCAAAAGTTCAAGAGAAGAGGAAGGGCTTAACCTTGTGCAAAGAAGTTTTTTTTAATCAGTGGTGTTTGCAATTCACACACAACATACTCCATGCAGTTTCACCTAAGTGAAGTTGGATAGAAAGCAAGCACTGGGTTCTTATACCTATTCTTTTTGCCTCTTCATTGTGTCTGATAACGGATAAATCCACACAACTCTCCCTTGGTGAGACGCATCAAAATGTGGCAGGAATTCAACATATCTCACTGGGGAGAAGTGTGCTACCAGTTTATGACTTGTTGCATCACAAAAGTTAAATGAAGAAATGCAAGTCATTTCTATTTCCTCTTGTCCTTCTTGTGCGTCATACTCATGGTTCCCAGGTGAAATTGCCTCTTATTATTTCACAGTTTCCAGGACAGGCCTGGTATTCACCATACAGATTATAGAGTTTGTCCTGAAAAGCCCTGGCATATTTAAGCCCTCGAAGTGTGAAGTGAGAATCATAGAATTCTCTTTGGTTTTCTCTCTGGCTGTCATTACAACTACTTTAGCTTCCCTTATTGCTCCAGCAAAACAAGTGAGACTGATAGGTCTATTGATTCTTGTGTGATACCTTTAAAATCTACATTGCTTGAGTACTAGATTATCACTCCACTCCTTGGATGACTGAAGCACTTTAAGTTAAAGAAGTTTCTCTTCACATGTTTTTTGGGTGGTTCAGAAATGGAATTCATAATAACATGTTTTGTTTCTATTTGGTGTCTCTGAGGTGTCCCAGCACTAAAAATGCACTGCAGAGATTTCACGGAACATGGAGAACTTGGTTATCAATATTTGCCTCTTCTGTCCCCACCACTATTTTTCTTACCTGACTCTGCCTGTAGACGGGCTTTCTGCGTGGTTAAATCATTCACTGCTCTCTGGTTTTCCTCAGACTTGGCCTTGAGTTCACTGAGTTGATCTTCTAAAGTACGGCACATTTTCTCTAGATTAGCCTGTGATGACAAGACGTTATTTGAAATGATAGGAATATACCATGCAGGGCTATGTTTCTATTTACATGACTGAGAAGGCGCGGTCTTATTCGGGAGAACTGCTTTTTTCCATTTTCAAATACCTTCGCTTTAGAGACAGACTCCAGGTTACTGGCCAGGTCATCAATCTCCATTTTGAACTCGCTCTTCTCCTTCTCCAGCTTCTGCTTGACGCGCTGCAGGTTGTCGATTTGCTCGCCAAGCTCGGCCGTGCTGTCCGCGTGCTTCTTGCGCAGAGCAGCCACCGTGGCCTCGTGCTGCAGGGCGGCTTCCTCCAAATCGCGCCTCATTTTCTGGAATTCCGCTTCCCGCTTCTTATTAATTTCGATCTGGGCAGAGGTGGCGCCTCCCGCCTCTTCAAGCCTCTCGCTGATCTCCTCCAGCTCCCGGGCCAAGTCCGCCCGCTGCTTCTCCGCCTTGGCCCGAGTGGCCCTCTCAGCCTCGATCTCCTCTTCAAGCTCCTCAATGCGCGCCTAACACAGGAAGGGAAATTGAGGGGTACCGGTTATTGTTGTTGTTCCTCTTGTTATTCACAGCGCAAGGCCATCACTGACGATGGCGCTTCAGGCATTTGTAAGCCCCGATAAAGGAAGAGAGCATAAGGACAGGGATCCCAATCTAAAAGCCATTAAAGGAAAGACAAGGATAACTAGGAAAAATGTGTGTAAGTGCAGATTAAGTCTTTGTGAAAGCAGGAGAAATTTGAAGGAAGACAAAAGTGTTACATTTTAAGTAGGCACAGGGTCGAGGAGGGAGGGTGCAGCAAGGAACCTTTGGACACTTCAGGGTGAGTTGTGGGAGGAAAGGAAAAAGGCAGGGGTATAATGGGAAATAAGTATGGAAAGTCAAATATGTGGGCAAATATTAAATTGGCAAATATCTGGAGAATTTTAATGGTAAGGACAAGTTACTTGTGTTGGGTATGAAAGGAAGCAAAGAGTATGGTAATCGATGAGAGATGCTTCAAGGGACTACATATGAAAATAGATTAACAGCATGGTAATATCATGGTGTTACATGATAAAACACTTGAAAATGGGACCAATGTAATCCTTAGAATTTAGCTGCCTAGCCTTAACTTATGCAGTGAAAATTTTGTATGTGGAACAAAGTTAATCAACTTTGTTTTCATTTAGCAAATTTTCAGCATTATAGTAAGAAAGACATTCATACATTTTCATAGAAGTTAATGATAACCAAACATTTTCATTCAGTAACAATGATAAGAATAAGATGGGATGAAAACAGTTCATGCCTGTAGTTCTTTTATTTTCTTCTGCAGCTGGATACCCAAATTTTGCTCATCTTCGAGTTTGTTTTGCAGTTGGCTATACTCAAAGTCTTTCCTATAAATGAACAGGAGATGCAGTTTAATTTAAAGGAGAAAATACTCGGAACACAGTTTAATTTCCAACTACAATGTACACATTCCATACTTCTTCAACTTTTCTTCTAGCTGCTGTTTATCATTTTCTAGATCCATGAGAGATTCCTGGGCAAGTTTCAAGTCCCCTTCTAACTTCCTCTTGGCTCTTTCAAGATCCATGCGGATTTTCTTCTCCTGTTCCAAGGAGCCTTCCAACTGCAACATAAGTTTAATGTGAGTAGCAGTCTCAGAGACATATTTCTAGGGCAAGCAATATTTGTTGCCTGGTAAAACTCAGGATTCACAAAATGTGAAATAAGCCTTCCTGCAACAAATTGACATTTGTGAGCAGAGATAGGAGGGTTTTTCAACACTTCCTCCAGTGTGCATTCCCTGTTAAGTCGGGAGGTAAAAAGCCTCCCACATCCCCAGACTAATATTGTCACTGGAAAGCTCTTCATCCACAATTGTTCTACAGGTGGTTTGCTTCTACAGGATTTCTTCCCAGATCAGGGTCATTAAAATATGCTTTGGTGTTCTCTTTTTCTATCTTATATATTTATACCTGGGCCAAGGTAAGAATGCACACTACCAGGAAGGCCCTCTGCCCTAATTATCTATAAGGTTCTTTTGGGCAAGGCTCAAATATATGTTTCATTGATTTGGAAAGCAATGCACTGAGACTTCAGTGGTCACTAGAATGAGCTGTCTCACATCATCAACTTGCTGTTCCAGCTTGGTTTTGGCTTTAGTGAGGCTGTTGACTTTGTCTTCCTCAGCTTGTAAGTCATCAAGGGTTTGTTGATGGGCCTCTTGGAGGGCTTTCTTCTCCTTAGTTAATTTCACAATGGTTTCATCCAAAACTGCCATCTCTTCTGTTAGATTCTTCACCTATAGGACACAGCACAACGTTGTTAATGGTGGTGAAGTACTGACAACAATCCTAGGATAGAAATGATTAGAGCAGGACCAGTGCATGCTCCAATTAGATATTCCCTCTCTTGACATTTGCCTGCAATTTACTATCATTAACTGCTCCAATGGAGACACAAACCAAGAAATGGTTGCTCAGTTGTAACAAGTGGCCATTTGTTACACAGCAGTGGCAAGCTGTATAGCAATTCTTTAAGAATTGGATTGTGTGTAGCTCAGCATGCTTATTTCCTAAACTTGCCAGGCAAGGGAACGTAAAGGTGAAATGGCTGTTCAAAAGCAATACTGAAGTGCTTGCCTTGTTTTCAGTGGCATGCTTTTCTTTTTCCACCTTGGCTAGTGTTAGCTCAAGGTCATCGATATCTTTCTTCAGCTCAGAACACTCATCTTCTAGTTTCCTCTTCTTGGCCGTCAGCTCGGCATTCAGCTCTTCTTCATCCTCTGCTCGTTCTGTCAGTTCCTTGATTTTAGCCTCCAGCTGAATTTTGGTTTTGATCAGCTGGTCACATCTTTCCTCAGCATCTGCCAAGCTTTCACTTTCCTTTTTAGAGAAAAAAGCATGATATTGATTATTTTTCCATTACAGCAGGCAAAATACTAGCTTATCACTTTCTAGAATGCTCTGCCTTTAAAGTTAACTTACAGCCTCACATTTTAACATAACAAGCACTTTATTATTCTATGAAAACAAGACTTGAGCTTCCCAAACTGTGCTGCATGGCATGGCTTGCCATTTGTAAGACGACAGAACTCAGTGGTTTGACATTTTAGTGGGGGCAGGGGGAGCCAAAAATCCTGCTGGCTGCAGGCAGGGGCTCCTGGGTAGTTCTTTGAACCCAACCCATTAATGTTTATCACACTGCAACATCCAGGACGAAATCCAACTTCATAATATTCTCCCACTATGCTGCCGCTTTCCTCTATATAATTTTAATAACACAGAGGTGCTAGTTAGATGAAGTTGCCTCTGTGGCTTCTATATAATCAAAGAAGAAAGGGGACACAGAAACAGGAGAAGGTGAGCAATACCAGAGGAGGAAAGGGTTAGGAGAGAGGAGAAGGGTGTTGTGTGATCTTTAGGGCTATAGGTTGCTGAATGCTTCTTGCCTGACTTACTGAGAAAGAATCGGAGGGTTGCTTGTGTTAGCTTCTCCAACCATGACAATGTTTTTTGTTTTCAAGAGTTATTTCTCAAACTAAGCAAAACCAAATACTCTATCTAGGAGATGACCTATGCATCTGCGCAAGACAGCATGTTGGAGACGAAGCTAGTTTCATGATAGTGTCTGGTACAGGGGCTTCTTCTTTCCCATACGCCAAGAATGAGTGGCCTTCTGCTGCTGTCATGCAAGAGGACAGCAAGGAAGGCTTGTGCATACGGCAAAGCCTCTGGAAAGGGGAAGCCTGAGATGGGTGTGCCTGGATAAGTAGCAGCATTCCAGAATTTAGAATAGAGTCCTTCCTAGCAGCTTCCCATGAAGAGGCGGCGCAAAGAAAGTCTCTGGAAAGGGATGGGGTCTGACGTGTTGTGATCTGGGGTGTGGGGGTGAAAGCAGCATGTGGGGGGTGAAAGAGGCATACACAGGCAACAGAAGTCAACACTGGGTTTTGTGGTGACCACTTTCATATTTTTAATGTATTGAGTAGTACGTTTGATGGCTCGCAGCTACAGCAGCCAGTAGTATTACCTATATTTTTTGCTTTCATTGTATGGGATGGTGGAGTAACAGCAGGAGACTGACTGAGTCTTCATGCATTGTTTGTAATTCTCCTTAAGGCATTTATCTGCTCACCATCAGACAATACAATATGACTAACATGGGCAGGCAAGTGACTGACAAGAATGGCTTCCGGACTGCAGTGGGAGAGTTTCCTGTCGTTTTATAAAGCTCTGGCCAATCTGTGACACATGGACAGTTGACACAATCGTTCCTCGCACGCTCTTTGGTTCTCCAGATAGCTTGGGGAAACAAAGCAGTGTGGTTGGTGGCTAGAATGATGATGGAGGAAACCCATCTGGATAGATCTGATCAAACACAGCTTGGAGCCCATATTTGAGGCCTACACTGTGCTGATGATGGCAACAAATAAACTGCTTTTCCATAACCATTGCATCCACACAGAGGCATTATGCTGCATCAGCGATTCCCAGCGTTGTGAACAAGGACATTTAGGGGTATGTGGAAGAAATAATGGCGGAAAATTCTTTTGAGTTTTGAAGTTAAATATATATGCACTGTGTTCACCTATTACTCCATTGCCCTTTAATCCTAATATTTGGGTGTTTGTTTACAGTTACAACATATAAATTTGAAATAAACAGTAGCTATGTTAATTAAAAATATTTTATTCATACGAAGGTTACAATTTATGGAAATAGGCTGCCAAGGGGTATGCAAGTGAAAAAGAGTTTGGGAACCTCTGTTCTGCAGGATGGAAGATCTATTATATCAGGAACCAGTTAAAACCAAAGAGGACTTGTTTGACTGCTGTGAAAGTTTTGCAAGGCATATGGTGGATAAATTCCCTTGCACCTATCCCTAATTAGATGGCATGGTTATAGCAATTCCTATAGTGTTCCTTTTGTATCTTCTTATCCAGCTGTTTTATTTAAATTTCATTTTGTAGAGCCTGAAGACAAGATCCTGGGAGTTTGACATCACTTAATCAGGGCTTTGAAACCAGTGCCTGGAAGTGTCAACAGGCTGGAGATGAGCCAATAAATTGAAAACCCATACAACACAAATGTGTTCTCAGTCAGGAGGGAGACAGGTTCTGGAAATAGAATCTAGCCTGCTTTGGATTAGGCTGTATGCCCCTTAAAAATGATGTTCACAGTTTATGGGCCCTCCTGTGTTAAGGTTTGCATCTGGATGACTAGGTAGCAATGGAGTGTTTTTGTTAAATTTAAACTGTTGTACCTGTTGCACCTGTTCCTGAGGGGAAAATGAAGTGGCTATGGCAACATGAATGGAACACTCTAGTTTCAGTCCATGTCAGTTTCACATGTCTTTCATGCCAGTTCAGCTCTGTTTCTACATCAGTCTACAATTGCTTTTCAAATACATGCATATGCATTTTAGTATGAGCACACCTTTTAAAAACATGCACTTTGCATTCATTAAATGCATGTTTTTGTATGTGCATTTCTATATATTTGTCTGGGAACTGCAAAGTAGGCTTGATTGCTTAAACACGTAGGTCAAATGAAATCTTCGAGCAACGTTAGGAACGACACATCAGGATGGCACATGGTGCTACATTTGCATTGACTTTGGAAGCTGCAGTTGATCCAGCGACAAGAACAATTATGGGTGCAGTCCCACGGGACCGTGTTGCACTTAGCCTGAACTTCCACACTGGTTGCCAGTTTCCTTCTAGACACATTCAGATGGCTAGTGATTCTGATCAAATTATAAATGGCGTGTGTTCAGGAGACATGATTGCCTCCCCACTGTACCAACCTGCCCTTTCTGTATAATCAGGTAAAGAGGCCATTCTCTGTTTCACTAGGGTGGAGGCACAGCTGATGATGCTGAGAGTTAGGATCTTCTCCATGGCTTTGCCAATATGGCAACACACCACAAAGTGCAGGGAGTTCTCCTTCTGGCTGCCTTCCACTGGCCAGTGAATGTTTTTCACAGCATACTTTTGCCTGCTAAGTTCTGAGGTTTTATTTTAAATCTTTTATAAGTGGTCTTGGCTTCCCTATTTTGCAGAGCTATCCTATTGTGCCCTGGTGGGGAGATCCTCCACAGAGCTGCCACAGCAGCTGGAGTCTGGCCAGAAGAGAAGTAGTCGAGGTGGAGGTAAGTCTTCACTCATTAATTGCTAAATTTAAAAAATACCTCCCACTGAAACCAGCTTGGGTAGGTAAGAGGACTGATCCTAGGCTTCACAGAGGATCTGAGGGACTCTGGATCCACCAGACCCAAAGCTTCTCCTCCCTGTGCCTGGAAACCTTCATTTTGTGGCCTACTGTGACTGCTGCCAGCAGGAACATGGGTGGCAGAAGGCCTTTCTGCAGCCACCAGTGGAGCCTCAGGGTGGACCCGCACCCCACATGGTGGTAAAGCTCTCACTCTGGATTGTATTCTTACTAAACATGTTGTCAGCTGTATTGTTTTAGATTGTTGTAAGCTACAGCAATGTATGATCACCAGATGTATGGGGCAGGAATATAATTAAAATAAAAATAACCATTTTACTTTGATAATACATTTAGGGCATCAGATTTCCTTACACTGACCATGGGAGGGTATTTGTGAATTACTTACAGACTGTACTTGAAGCTGCAGGTCATTTTTCTCTTGCAACAAAGAAACCATTTTTTCCTCCAGTTCCTTTCTTTTGGCTTCAGATTTGGCAAGTTCTTCTTTGGTTCTTTGAAATTCTTCTTTCATTGTGGCCATTTCTTTTTCTGCTTCTGCACTCCTTAATAGGGGTTTAATCTTAAAGAACAGCTTCATCCAAGGCCAATGTTTGACATTCATGAATGAGCGGATATTGTACTGAATGGTGAAGATAGCTTCCCTGAGATGAAACCAAACCACAGGGTTAGTCACTGAAGAAAATACGGTTTCCTAAGCAAAGCTCTGGAGTTCCTTAATGAGGCTTCAGTGACAATATGTCAAAGGCTCTATCTATAAATATTCAAATGAATATGGATTGATTTATCCAGCCAGTTTCCTTAACTCATAGTAGAATAATGTGCATGCACACTTTTTCTGAAAAATCTGTACCACTTAGAATTACAGAATTCCAAGAGAGGCCAAAACAGATGCCTTTACAACATGCAGTTTGCCAGCATTTCTACAGATAACAGTGGCAAGACATGCTTCAAAGTCACAAGAAACTTGATTAAAAGGGACAGGCTAGACTTACATGGCTGCAACATGTACAAAAATGATAGAACTTTCAAGAGTACCATTTCAAACATTCCTATTCAATATTTCCATTGCAGGCTATGGAATCTAACTGATACAATCTGTCCACCAGTGGGACAATGCATCACTGGTGAGTCCCTTTTATCCTGCAGCTCTATCTTTTTCCCCACAGATCTGCACTGGAGGTTTGAAGGACCCTCTTGACCAGACTTGTGGAGCACATGGGGGATTCTGGGGGGCAAAGAAGGGAACATCCCACTGCATGGGCAGGTATGTGTTGATATTTTCCATGCTGCTTTGAAGGGGGCATGGCAAGTATAAAGGCAGTTCGAGGTACAAGTTGAGGCATAAAAGAACAAGTGCTGTGGAAGAGGAAGCCATTCTACCTTCTTGCCACCATTTTTTGGTATTCCACTCTCATAAGGAAGCCCCTGCACATAGCCTGTGTGCGAGTAATTAGCAGTGCCAGACGATCATCTCTCATCTCTTCCAAAAGACCCAGCAAACCGGCCTTGAAGAACACCTGAAAAAAAGAATGCAAAGTAGAGTTGCAGCCTTGCATATATTTAAAGCTCATGCCTGAGATCTTAGAAGAGAAAGGTGCTTACTTTGGTGTGCCCAAATTTGTACTGGGTGTGATCAATATCAATGGATCCCAGCAATTTCTCACAGGCTTTCCTGCTGTCCATAAACTGGCCTTCTGGGATGGCGCTAGCATTCAGGACACGGTATCTGTCCATTTAAACACAAGTAGGTCATCTCAGCATTGAAATCAGTAGAGGAAAAGGAAGTGCTGTACTACTGGCATGTTTCAAATGTCTTCTGATAGCTTGGCTAATACTTTATCAGAAACCACAGGATTATAGCTAGTCTGAGGAGGTTAAGAAGGTGTCTATCCAAAGATTTCTCCAGACGGTAAGTAAAGTAAAAAGAATGTTCCACAGGCAAAACCAGAGTTGGTGCAATACAGTACAAAAATATATAGTTTTTACATGTAAACATTGCCTATTCAAAACTGTAGGGTATAACATAATGTTCAAGGCAAGTTGAGCACAAGTGTTGCTATTATCTAGCTTTCTAGACAATGTTTTCTAACAAGGGCCTCAGTGCAGATTGGAAGATCACAGAAGATTTTGCTGACAGACCTTTGTTTAAAATCTCCATATAAGATTCTGTTTGGAAATCCCTTCCTGCAGATTCGAATTCCTTCAAGCACTCCATTACATCTCAGCTGATGTAGGACAAGCTTGTGTTCCATTGCACCTGTGCGAGAGAAAAGAAAGGAGGGAAAGCAGCTTTTGCTGGTGTTCTGCTGGCATCTTTCTGGAAATCCATACACTGGATTCTATAAGTTACCTGGAGTTTTGGTTTCATTGGGGATGATGCAGCGCACAAAATGTGGGTGAGTTGTCCGCAAGTTGGACATCAGTTTGTTCAAGTTTTCCTGTAATTTGAACAGAGCAACTGAAATTCCTTAAATAAACAACTTTTAAAATGCCACTCAAGCCTTATATTGTATCCAATATTGGATCCAAATATATTGATACTTGTTTGTTTACCAGTTTTTAATTTTAACTTACTGCAGGAGCAAATATTGTCCCCCTGATATTTTGGTTCTTGAGATTTACAGCCTCTTATTTATGGCCATTTTAGGCCTACATCCAGTGTCCAACAAAGGATCAAGTCAGATGCATCAATGAGTGATACATCCCTCTTCCAGATACACTACAGCATTAGTCACACCTATGGTCCCCCATAATTTGGGCTAACAATATGTTGCTCTTGGTAGAATTTAAACAGAGTTTGTCTAGCTAATTTAATAAAAGTATCTGCAAAGAGATATTCACTGCATTAGGCATGTCCTGTAACTTTTCTAGTTACAAGCAACTGTATTCTTTCTGTAAGACTTACTCTGAACAGCGCAGACACAGTTTGGAAAGAGGACCCCTTCTTCTTTGCTCCTTTCTTCTTAGCACCCCCACCTTCCGCTAGAAAACAGAATATAAGTAGATTTAGCTAGCTTTACTTCAGCTTCTGTAGATAATTTTCTAACCATGTGTGGCATCAGAGGTGACTCTGGCTGCCATCATTCTGAGACACATGTGGCAAAGGAACTGGGCAAGAAAACCAAAGGTTCCTATGGCTTACCATCATCCAGGGCAGCAAAGGTGGCATAAAGGTTAGCCAAAATCTTAATTGATGATTTCTGATAGAGTGCCACAACAGTTTCATTTAAGGGGTCTTTGTTTTTCTCCAGCCAGCCAGTGATATTGTAGTCCACAATCCCTGCGTAGTGTATTAGGGAGAAGTGGGCCTCAGCCTTGCCTTTGACAGGCTTGGGTTTCTGGAAGTTGGCAGATTTGCCAAGGTGCTGGTCATAAAGCTTATTCTTGAAAGATGTGTCTGTTGCCTTAGGAAACATGCACTCTTCTTCCAAGATAGAGAAAATGCCCATTGGCTAAATGGAAATACAAACAGAACTTTATTTCAGATACGTCTTTCTTTGAAGTGTGTGCTTGTGCATAAGAACCTATTGTAATGTACCTTCTCAATGAGTTCAATGCAGGCAGCCAAATCCATGCCAAAGTCTATGAAAGTCCATTCAATTCCCTCCTTCTTGTACTCCTCCTGCTCCAGCACAAACATGTGGTGGTTGAAAAACTGTTGCAGTTTCTCATTGGTGAAGTTGATGCAGAGCTGCTCCAAGCTGTTGAACTAACACCAGAATATACAGGTGATCCCTTTGACCTCACAGATACAAGGTAAACAGTTCTTTGTTCATTGAAGGCAAATGATTGAAGCATAGATAGAGGGAGCAGTTAGGGTTTTTCTTTGCTAATGAATTCATCTTCTCTGGGGCTGGGTTGGATCTTTGACCCTCTTATTTCTTCTTCCAGAGAAAAACAAATGGACAAAGACTAGAACAGTCTTTCCAATGCAGGCAGAAAATGTTTACAGCACTAGGAAATTATTCTTGCCACTGACTCCCTCGTTCTCATGTATCTATGTACAACATTTATATATGCATTTATATATGGTGTCACCTGCTACACTAATTCCCTGGGAGAGAGTACAGAAGGAAAAGGACATTTAGCTATTACAAAAAAGTCAAGAGGTTGCAATGGAGCTCCATACCTCAAAGATTTCAAAACCTGCAATATCTAACACCCCAATGAAGTGCTGTCGGGGCAACTTCGTATCCAGCTGTTGATTGATCCGAGCGACCATCCAGAAGAACAGCTTTTCATAGACAGATTTGGAAAGGGCATTGACAGCATGGTGTACCTGTGGGTAGCAGTCCAGACAATTAGCAGCAGGCACACAGCTAAATGTGTAGTGTGAATTGGCAAGCCACTTCTTGGCCTGGCCTGGGAGACTGGAACAACTCAGGAATAATGGCATGAGCTAAGACTGATCTTTCCTCAGAAACCCAACACGGAAGACATGTAGCTTAAATATTGGATCATTCTGCTTTGAAATTCTCCCTGCTAGGGTGGGTGGATAACACAACTGGCTTTATGACACGGTGGTCAAAGATAGCCCAATCAAAATGTAGTCCATTGTAGAGGTCTTTAAAAAAACATTGCCTGAAAGAAGGAGATGAGAGTTGTACTGGGTATCATATAGATAGAAGTTTTCATGTGTTTTGTATCTTAGCTTCTGCTTGCTTCAAACCCTGTTCCTCTGTTATTGTAACCCTTTTCTAACCAGCATTTCCTTTGCTAAATAGTGTTTCAGTAATGCTAGTCTAGGTAGGAAAGAGTGTCCAGCTGTTTCGCCAAACTGACCACTCTCCAGTGAAGCACAGGCTGAAAAGAAGTCATGTGCCTTGCCTGGGAGCTCTTCAAGAAAGTTGGCAAATGCTTTTAACCTGCTGCATGTACTCACCTGGTCCACAGTTTGACCTTTGGTCACGTATTCATTCCCCACTTTCACTCGGGGGAAGCACAAGGCTTTCAAGAGATCTGAAGAATTCAGGCCCATCAGATAAGCTGCCTTGTCAGCCTCTATAGAACAGAACATAGGAAGTATGTTCAGGATGACCAGGATCCTGGATGCTACAGACAGTGCACTTGGCAGAGCTAGTCTTCAGCAATGGGGTGACATTCAAACTTCTGTAAAAGCACAGCATGAGGTAATACAGCATAGTAGCTGGAGTGCTGGGCTGGGGCTCCGGGGACCCAGGATCTAATCCCCCACTCTAGTCCCCATGATGTTCACTGGGTGACTTTGGGCCAGTCACTGCCTCTCAGGGTGTCCTCCTTCACAGGGTTGTTGTGTGAATAAAATGGAGAAGAGGAATTATGTAAGCTGCCTTGGGTTTCTTGCAGGAAACAAGGCAGTATATAAATATAATACATTAATTAAAATTTAAATAAATAAATCATGTCCCAACATTGAAACTTTTATGGAAATCTCTAAAATAACTAGAAAGTGACAATTGAATCCCATGGGAAATTTTTCACAGAATGAAAGAGAAAGTCCATTCTCTCTCCAAAATTCTTCATTATATCCCTAGCTCCAATCAGTATACTCAATCACTATAGCAACTGAGAAAGCATGGGAAAATTGCAAGAAATTCAGTTTTGGTGGAAAGAGAAGACTTCACTGCCAACCTATGAGAAGAGCTGTATCCAATTCCAGTCATTATTATTCAGGGTATTAATGTGACTCTTTCCATTTTGTACATTGCATTAAAAGTTCTCATCTACAGGAGCAAACAAACAAATAGCTTTTTCTGAAAAGGGAGTGGGATAAATCCATTACCTTCAGTTCCATCTGGTTCTGCCTGCTCCTCTCGGGGTTTCTGTTTAAACTTCATGTTTCCATAGTGCATCACTGCCCCTGTCAATTTATAGATTGCAGCTTTCTCTTCCGCAGTGAAACCCAGGATATCTATAGCTGTCTGTAACATGTGGTAATCAGATAAAACAATTAGTCTGTAACTGGAGGAGGAGGAAGAGGAGGAGGATATCATCATTTCTTATACGCACATCTGTTGCTATGAGCTCCTCTTGGTCGTCAATGCTTTGGACTGCGATCTCTCCTTGACTTATGAATGGATAGTCATAAGGGTTAGTGGTGATGAGAAGCATTTCTGAAATGTAAGCAGAACATCTTAGATCCAGATATAAAATGAGAAAGACAGAAAGACAGTCATTTCAATATGACTGAACTCCATGGGACTTTACTAAGATTAATCTCAAGTCATTGTGCCTAGGGCACAAATGGTCTTGAAAAAGAAATGAAATTTCCTCCATATTTCTTAGCAGTTGTAAGTGAACACATACGGGGAGGCATAGAAATGGAATAAAACTAATTAAATAAATAAAGCCACAGAATCCTTCTGTCTTACCAGATAACCTAAGATATTCAGAAAGGCAGTCAGTAAGAATCATACTTACCAATCAGTTCTGGCTTCTTATTGGAGAGAATCTGATAGAAAATGTGGTAACTCCTTTCAGCCTTCAGCTGAAAGGTTACTCTGGACTTTTCCAGCAGATCTGCAACAGAGATTCACTTTAATGTTCACAAGCTCAATTTGATGTACACTAAATTGTGTTCCAATGCGGCAACTTACAGGTCTCGATATCTGCAGAGGCCAGCTTTCCAGTGGCACCGAAGTGAATCCGAATGAATTTGCCCTGCAAAGTACAAAGGGGGAATTTTCATTGCACACATCCAGGGGTTTCCAGAAACATAGCAATATTAGATTTTTAATTGGAATAGTGTGCCTTCTGGTTTTTGGTAGGGTTTTTCAAAGTAAGGTTATTAGCTGCATTGAAACTCCATTATGAAACCAAATGGTGGAAACAAGCATTATTTATAAATAGAGATATTGAGTTCTTGCTCTCAAAAGTTATTTAATGCAAACATTTTTTCTTGCAGGAAATTCTCAACATAGAACATTTCACTGCACAGAAAAAGGAAAAAAATGTGCATGAGGAGTTTCATGTGTGCATTAGAGCTGCTGGATTTCAGGTTTGTTTATTGTCTTCTGCTTTCCTTGATGTGCCCAGTCCCTCCCCACCAAAATATCAGTACCGGCTGCTTTCTTAAAAGGAGATAGATTTAATAAACCAATGGAGGCTGCTGAAGCAAAATGAAGCTAAAATTCCAACACTTAGAACTAGAAAGCTTACTGGAACTTATCAAGGACAAATTTGCATGAACAATCTGAGCTGAGTATGGTCTGTTAAGTCCTCAGCAGCTTAGAGCACCGATTCTCTTCAGGTGGCATTCCCAGAGGATGCTGGTGACAATTATGTCAGTGGAGCTCCTCATCCTCACATCCATTATTGTGAGCTTCACAGGAGCTATCTTTGGCCCTGAATTTCATCCCTCAAGCAGGTTCACCACCATGGGGCACCATGGATAAGGATCAGGAGCCCCTCCTGGCATCGGAGCCACCAGCCTCCCCTGGTCATTTCTCAGTGCAACATTTTGATGATCTATCTGAGAATGCGAAATGTAAACAATGCATCTTGATACAGACATTGTCGCCTAAAAACTGATCGTGAGTTTTCAAAACTTAAAGCAGGGGTGGGGACTGTTCTCAGCCAGGGGGCTGCATTTCCTTGTGGCTAACTTTCTGAGCCTGCATGCCAGAGATGCCTCTCAATAGGCAGGTAAGGCCAAAGCTACTGTAGGAAGGGCTATCCTGCATTTGCACCCTTAGGCATCCACACAAACGTGCAGCATATGGCACATGTCCATTCTTACACATGCATTCATTCAATATGACATACACACACACTTACACATGACATGCAGCACACACATTTAACACCAGCACATGAAAGAAGACATGGCCATCCAACAAGTGGAAGTGGAAAAAGCCTTCTGTCAAGGACTAGGCAAATCACTGCCTCCAGGCTGGGGTCACAATATGCACAGAGGGAAGTTCTCCTCACCTCTCCCTTGCCACCCTATGCACTGTATTTAGACTTTAAAAAAGGCACCTTCCATTGACACCAAGGGAAATCTTTTCCCAAGCTGGGTGGGGGGCTTGAGGAGGACAACAGGACAGCCAAAGTGGACACAGGCTACAGGTTCCCTACCCATAAAATTTGCACAACTTACAAAGCGGGAAGAGTTGTCATTCCTCACAGTCTTGGCATTCCCAAAAGCCTCTAGAAGAGGGTTGGCACTGATGATTTGATCTTCAAGTGTCCCCTGTTAAACATGTTTGAAGAAATATGAGAAAAGCAAGAAACAAAACCATGGCTATAGCTGCGATTGATCTGGTTCATGTGACACTGCAATCCATCATGGGTGGCTAGCCATGATGGGTTGCTGTGTCATGTGAACCCAGACCACTTTCCACAGGAAAAGAGCCACCCTGACAACCCATGGCTCGTCCTAGGTGTCGTTCAGTCCATGCTGGGTTGTCCTGACATCTGAAATGAGGAAAGCAGTTTCACCATGATTGTCAAGATAGGGTACAGACACTCTTTGCCATCTGGCCCATGCAGTTGCCAGTGGCTGCCCCTCCACCAACACGCAAATGGCACTTTGGAATGACTGTCACTCGCTTGCCACTCTTAAAAATAACTTTCTCAATCTGAATATTGCACAAAAGTATACAAAAGTTTCATTATTATTGTTGTTGTTTTGTTGTTGTTGTTGTTGTCAGTCTTTCCCAAATGTGTAGTTGCTCAATATGAGTACTCTTGCCTGATCAATTTGGTATGTTTCAACTGTCAAAGAAAGCCCTGTAGTACAGTAGAGAAACGGTAGGAAATTGACCAGACAAGAGTGTACATAGGCAATTTATACTTGATTAACAAAGAGCAGGAGGAAAAATAACACTAAAGGTCAGGAGGAGCCCATTTGCACCACGAAAAAGCAGGGAAGATGGGGAAACAGTGGAAGAAGTAGGTGCATGGAAAGCTGAGGAGTTTGCAATATCTCCCAATTAGCACTGTGATTCTCTCAGTGTTAAGAGCTGGAACTAGCAGCTCTCATTGTCTCCACTTCTCCAACACTTTCTTGACTCTGCAGTTAGTCCAGAAAGGTAAGGGATTATCTCCACTCCTTTTTGGAGTGCTAACTCACCCACTTCTCTGACAGTTCTGACTGGGGATGCAGCTGAATGGACCTGAGTGAATGGAACCTCACACGGGGAGCTGTTGCATTCCACTTGTTCCAACCCATTCTGCCACCTTTAACAATTTGTTTTTTAAATAACAATTGGGAATATATAGACTTTTTAATACTGGGAAATATATGCAAATATAATGGTTGGGAAGTAAATGAGGGGGAGATGTGTTCCAATTCAAGGGCTGGGAAGTAAACATATTAGCTACTGCATTACTGCAGGCATGCAGATTTTCCCTCCACTTATTTCCAAGACACTCAGTTTCTGTGCATTTCTCTTCCATTTACTTCGCACTCCAAACACATGTGCAAATATTCTGGTCTATTTTAAAAAAACAAAACTCTTGGAAGGTGGCCAAGCAAAGTGGAGCAAATGGGATGCCAGTACCAGCAGTGTTTACAACTGTCTCCCCCATGGGCCCCATTCACTCTGTCCCCTACAAATACCTAACTAGAGTTTTTTAAGAAGCTGTCAAAGAACTGCATTAACTGCCGTTAAGTGCTTTGAAAAGGAGCCATGAAAAGTGAAGGGAATTCGTATCTGCCCTTCCTGGAGCAGCTGGAGAGTCAACGAAGTGTCGAAGGAGTGGAAAACTGACAGGTCCATTCTTAAAGCATAGAGAATTACATTGCCAAGGTAGAAATATTGTGTGTTCCCCCTCCACAACCCCATTCCACTTTTGAGGCACTTACTCCTTTGCCTTTTCTGCCTCCATTTTCAGTTGTTCTAAATTGTACTCAGTGCCTCCTTTCCTTAACTGTTATTTCTTCCCCAGTCCCTTACAACTGTGCATAAATTAGCCTTTAGGCATCCTCTTCTAGTCAACGTCCTTGTCAAATACCTGTTCCCCCCCACCACCTTTTTTGGAGGGGTTTTTTGACAGCTAATACATGTAAGGAAATTGGCTGGAAAAGACTTTACCTATTGGGCAGCCTAGGCTTCACTTGTGAAAGACAGATTCATCATCATCCCCCCAACTGTGAATGTGTGAGGATCCAAAAACTATCATGCAAAGGCTGTGATGATTAAAGCAGGGAGCAGGGCGGGCTGAGAAGATAAGGCAGGTTCTGGTGCAAAGTCCTCTGGGATATGTGCTAGAACCAGCTGGAGGACTGATGGTTAAGGAGCGAGAGGACAGCCCATGGCAAGCCCAACTTTGCAGAGCCTTCACTCAGTTCAGGTCACTGTGACTAAGTGTGCAAGAAACCACTGCTTAACTTGCTCCTTGAATACTGTCAAGGAGTATTCAGATCCTGAAATGTGGAGGGAGGGAGGGAGGGAGGGAGGATGGATGGATTCAGGGAGCCCGATTCACTTCTGATTCATATCAGGACAAATTACTTATCTTGGGTATTCATGCTCATGAATTTTGGAGTTCATATAGGTAGTATATTAATTATTCCCTGCAAGTAAAAAGGGATCTGAAAATGGGGACTTTTGTCCTTAACAGACTTTCTATAGCAAAACCAAAAGAAAAAGAGGAAGAAGTGGAGGAAAAGCATGAGAGGGTTATAAAAGGGAGATGTCACTATCTGTGGATGCCCTTGTAAAATCCCATCAAGTACAATAAATGCTTCATCTGGAAGCAAGCCTCATCTGACTCAACAGCAAAGGCAGGCAGCCTTGCGCTTGTTCTCTGGTAGCCTAGTAGCTCCCTTCACAGTTTACCTTTCACATGTTGTCCCCAAAGGGCTCTGGCAGGGGAAGTGGAATGGGGAGAAGGAACACACATAAATAGTCATGTGTTCTGTGGGACAGGGAAAAAAGGTAGGGTACAAATTTCATCATCATCATCATCTCATTGTACCTTCATCTTGGATTGCGTTTCCTTTTTCTTGCTTAGTTCTCCAGTAGCTGCAATTGTTGCAAAGTACTGGATGACACGCTTCGTGTTGACAGTCTTTCCAGCCCCGGATTCTCCACTGTCAAGGACAATTATGCATTAAGTTAAGAGGAATGGATGTACATTAGCTATGTCACAACTGTATTTCAGTAGCATAAATAGATGAATCTGAAGTGCCAACTTACGTGATCAGGATAGACTGATTTTCACGATCTGTCAAAAGGAGAGAGACAGAAAATACAGTACTTGCTGTGCTATGGATTCACTGCTACAATCATGAGATCAAAACCAGGATGTACAATAGATGCTTGCTAAGACCAATTATTGTTCCCACGGCATTGTTCTGCTTATAATAACTGACTCTGCTTTCAGTTTAGAAGCATACGTACCAGTTAGCATGAACTGATAGGCATTGTCAGAAATGGAGAAGATGTGAGGTGGTGCTTCTGAACGTTTTTTGCCCCGGTAACCAGCCACCACTTCTGGATTGTACACAGGCAGCCATTTGTATGGATTGATGGTGACACAGAAGAGACCGGAGTAGGTCTGCATGGAAACCAGGAAAAAAGCTGTTATGCTTGACCCCCTTGGGAATTCTTCCTTTGTGTTAGGATGGCAGCACTTACATAAATCATCCAGGAGCTGTAGCGATCTTTGAGGTTATACAGAACTGCAGGTTCATGCAAGTGCGTTAGCATCGCCATGTCCTCAATTCGGTCAAACTTCGGTGGATTCATAGCATACACATCCTCTGACTTGACAGTCAGGGTCTGAAAGGTAAATAAATGGTTCCCATAAGGAAGGAGGAGGTTATGGTGCTAGGTTCAATGCATAACAAAGGCTTTCAACAGGGATGTAATTGCTCGAGCCACTTATTCCCTGGACCTCTTTGTAGCATCACAAGGACTTTCCCCTTGGGCTTGGTCCATAGCCTAACAATAAAGGATGCCATTTTACAATAAAGGTCTTTATTAGTCAAGGACTGGAGCTCTGTCTTCCGGATGCTGCACTTGTCACAAACCACACTGAATTAATGAACAGCACCATGAGCTTGGGTTTGCCTGTGCACTTTTGAGACATGAAGAAAGCATTTCATGGAAAAGATATATTTCCTTGGGAGCCAAACTAGCCTGCTTATATACCAGGGACATATTTGCTGAAAAGAAAGAAGTCCTCGTCATCTAGGACACCCCCGAAAATGCTCACCCTGCCATCATCTGTATCCACAGTTGTCTTGCCACCTTCAGTGCTCTTTATTTTCCCCTTGGCATATTCCTCCTTGGGCTCAGCCACATAGCAATAGGTCTTGGCATCAAAGGGTTGGTTCTGAGCCTCTATCCGCTCCTTCTCAGATTTGCGGAGGAAAGGGGCAGCCACCCCAAAAAGCTCCATTTCTGCATCCCTGCTCATTGCTGCGGCTGCAAGAGAAACAGGAGGCCAGTCTCTTCAAGGCTCTAGAAACTAGAGGCATCATGCAGAAGAAGGCATGGTCTGCCCTCCTGAAGCTACTAGTGCACAGGAGTTTGTGTAGTCAAAGCAGTAGCCCAGCTTCCCCTCCCCCAACTACTTTCTCCATAATCCTGACATTATATGCTAAACTCCTCTTGGTCTTCTACAAGCCAGCAGCCATGCCTTCTGGTAGATCACAAGATTCCTTGCAGCTTTGTGCTCACTGTATTTTTCAAGGAATGCTTGCCTTTGATATCATTTGAGTATGCATATTGTAAATTGCTTTGGTTTTATCTGTAAAGTGCCCTGAGAACTTTGTTAAAATGGCAAAATAGTGATGCCAAAAATAAATAAGGAAAAAAATAAATCTAGTAACAATCAATGCTTCAGCAACAGCAAAGGTTGTTAAGCATCCATGAACTAATTCCACAAGTGCAAACTCTGAAGTCTAGAGTAGAATGCAGAACTTTGCAATTTTTTTAAATGAACAGGTGTATTCTTGTACCCTGGCCTTCTCCCAAAGAGCTTAGGGCAGTATGTGTACATAATGCAACATAAACCCCAAAGATTAATCTCTTGGTGGGATCACTCTTCTTTGTGGAGCTATCCAAGCCTGCTAAAAATGAACAATTGAGGCTCACTTCCTGGAATCTTTCTTGAACTTAAATAACTGGTACCTTATCACAGGAAGCCTTGAGATGGATGGGTGAGATTGCTTAGTTCTATGTATGCCTTAAGCAGAGTTCTTTGTAGAGGAAGAACTTCTGCTGTTGGGCACCTTCCACTCCCCAAGTCACATGTTAATGGCCCAGACCGTTTGAAAAGCTGAGTAAGCCAGAGAATGGATTGGGCCAAGATTCAGCTTACTATCAGCAGATACATACCCCTCACTTCTCATTATTCAGCCAGACCTGGTGGATGTTACTGTATGCCGCAGGAGGAGGAAGAGGAGGGGCAGGGCAGTTGTGTAAAGATAAGAGCACTTGGGACATGAAATGCCACCTGTGCTTGGCAGGATGCTGGCTGACCTGCGTCGTCTGAGCAGAGTGGGCAGGTGCTTGGCGAGTATCTGCAGGTGTTATGCATTAGAAATAGGGACTCCTCAGACATCAGCTGCAAGCAGCTTCAATGAAGTGCATTATATGAAACACTGGAGATGGTGACAACAGAGACTGGGACTCTCAAGGGATGGTCCACTAAATTTGCATAGTTCTGATCCTTACCCCACAACAGGCATAGCAGTCAGCATGCAAGACAATAATTTCCCCCTCCTTGCACACAAACACAAATGCATTGCAGTTTGTAGTCAATTCACAGCAGAGCGATCTAGCAAGTGAAGCTAAATGACAGCACACCCCAGGTAGAGCCAAGTGCAGTTTGGGATCAGGGAGACATTGTTACCGTACTTAGATTTCTCACCTTTTTATTATTTACTCCCACCAGAAAGAAGAAGAAAACTGGATGAAATGTTTAACCTGCAAAGGAGCAGACAGCTTCAGTGGTGATGCATCAAGTAATCCCAACAGCTGAGAATTTGTCACAGTCTTCCCATATGTAAAGGCTTACAGTGCATAATTGAGAGAGAGCCTCTTTGCCCCAGAGGTCTTCACTGAAGAAAAGTGTATGTGGGCTCAGCTATTTGATAGCTGTCCTTCACATTTCTTTAACATTCACTTATTCTAAAGTCTTCCACAAACAGGGAGACTCTGTAAGTTAACGCTCAGCAGGAGGGAGAGGTTAGGGAAAATGGGTGTGGAAGGAGAGAGACAGATAATGGGACTTACCTCTGACAGTCCGAAGCACCAAGAAACCTTTTATCTCCGTCAGCTTTTATAGGCTCTGATTCTTCTCTAAGCTCAGCCCTTCTCTATATTTGGAAATCAGAGACCAGCCCTGTAGCCTGCTTGCCACTTCTACACTTATTTTCCCCCCTTAAATGTATTTATAGAAATGATCCAGTTCAGTAGTTATTTATCAATATTGGTAGCCTGACATGGGAAAATATATTTAATTTCACAATTTTTTAAGCCTTAGAACTTTTAAGCAAGTTCACTGCAGGAGAGAGATGCTGTTTTATTCCTTAGGTAAATGTACGTTGGTAGTAATGTTGTAATTGAGGCTATTGGCAGACAAAATTTTGCATCATGTATGTGTCTGTGCATGCGTGCACACGCACGTGCACACACACTCACTCCAGTAGAGTGGTATCATTGCATCCCTATTATAGCCAATATATTTTAACCATGTATGGCCGGGCTCCAAAATACATGTGCTAATATTATTTGCATATGCAACTGGCTGTAGTACCTCCAACTCATATGTGAAAACATGTAGTTTCAAGCATCCATTATCAGCAAGAACACTAGCATTAAAGAAACTACCCATTTGCCCAAAGGGTCCAGCACAGGACAGTATCCTGAGCTATCCCTGCATCTCTACTATTGCATTGCACCAGTGAGACCCATTAGCTCAAAAGGAGACCAACACTTCCTAGGGTGAACCCAACATGAACCAAAATGCTCATTACTGGAGTACAATAGGTCAGCAGAGCTCCCTTCTATGAACTCCATTGACCTGTTCTGTCCTGGAAACAGGTTGGTGGAGCTCACAGAAGAGAACTCAGTTGACCTATCCTGGTTGCTGCTGAGCTTTCCTGTCTGGAGAGTTCCGGCTTTCTGTTGCACTGATGGTGGGTCCCACTGGTGCACAGGCAGTACTGGATACTGGCCAGAACAGTATCAATACTGTGCTGTCATTTACTAGTGTGTGACAATAAGAAGCCATAACACTGGAAATGATGCACAGCTTCCCCATACCTTCTTTTTTTTGTCACCAAGTATCATCATCTGTGGTTCTCTTTGTGCACGTGTGCATGTGTGCCCCCCTCTGAGGTGTGCGATTCCACGCTGCCTGTGTGCATGGAAATCATGGGTCCTCCTTCACTCCCAGTTGGCCCCACCCACATGGCTATAATGGTGTGGAATGTCAACACAAGGAACCCTACTGTGTAAAGGGTGATATAGAAAAGGGAGTAGAGAGACACTAATTGCAAGTTTTGAAAGGAAGGTTGACTTTATTTATTTATTTATTTATTTATTTATTTAAAACATTTCTATGCTGCCCACTGTGCCACAGCACCTCTAGGCAGCTCAGAATCAAATTAAAACTGTTATAAAAACTAAAAACATTGCAACCCCTAAGAATCCATAAAAGAAGATCAATTAAAATATAGATAAACACAAGCAAAGCAAATAAATGAATGAAAGCCTATAAGGTCCTAAACAACTGAGAGAATGCTTTCAGTGTTTTTTGCTGACCATCCTGGTTATATAGTGCTTTTTCTGTCTGGCATCCATTCTCTGGAAAACTCTTCCAAAGTCACACATGTGCCAACTCTGATGCAGTTCAGGTGCATGCTGAAGACTTTTTTAAAAAATGGCCTTGTCATTTGATGATTGCTGATGCCTGTCATATTGATTTTCTCTATGTCTATGTCATTGTCTATGTTCTAGTATTTTTTAATTGTATACTTACGTTTATAAATCTATACTATGGATATACACTACCTGGACACATTTAAAATGCCAGGTGATATAGAAATATTTTAATAAGAAATAAAAAGGAAGGCCATAAAGGAATAAATAACTGTGAGCCACATTGAGGAGTTTTGTTGACTCACAAATCCACTGAATGGTGACTTAAACTACCTGCAACACAAAAGGTAAAGGGAGCACTACTGAATGAAGATCTAGTTATTACCACACATATTTTTTCTCAGCCTTTTGGGTTTACAATTGACTTGCCACTCTCCTAAAAAGACACACCCTCCTACTTAAGCATGCCATAGTATTACAGCTATGCCAGCACCAAAGAGGGAATTGGTAACAGCTGAAGAAAGTGGTGCTGAGTAAAGCAAAACCTACTAAAGAGAAAGAAAGGGCAAGTATATCAAGTAGGAAACCTTCAAGGCTAGGCATTCACTTGACAATGATTTCGGAGTGGCAGATCTATGTTTTGACTGCAGGTTTCACTATTAATAGAGCTTTCCAGAGCTTCCTACTCCAGCCTGTCAAAAAGGAAATTTGAAAAATGCAGGCACTTTAACATAGGGAAAGATACAGTCCTCTCTTCTGTACAGCAGCGAGTCTGTAGAACAGAAAACATCATGTGAGGCTATGATTTAGGGAGCTATTTATATAAAGCCCAGTAGCCATTCAATAGAATCCTTCTAAAGTACAAGCTCGTTTTAGTATGGTTCTGAAACTGCTGCACTGCAGACAACTCTTCTGTTCTTTGCAGATCACTGCATAGTCTTAAGTTATCACATCAAGAGGAAGGTTGCTTGAAAGGGTTTCCACTTAACACTCCACCAGTCTTGGGCTCCGGTGCAGCAGCTGAATGTGAAAGGTGTTAGGAAAGGTATTTTGCTAGGGAATGGATAAGCAATGCAGGTCATAGGTGTTTGTCAGTTGAGCACAATTTGAATTTGGAAGTAGTGTTCATCACTTTCTGTTCTAGAAGAAACCTATATTCTTTATTCTTTTTGTCATTGCCTCAGAATGCTCTGCAGTAGGTCCACAAGCCACAGTTCAAGAAATCGTGATTTAAATCAGTCACACAATCCAAGTACATACAGAAACCTCGGGAAGCAGGAGAAACTGCTTGCCCTTTGGTAACAGAGAGTTCTGCTGCTGCCGCCACCCTTGCTGTTATAAAGGCACAGGTAAGCTTACGATCAGATCCCTGAGAGCACTCTTTGCCTTTTCTTCCATGCTTCAGACATAAAATCCACCGTTTTTGTTTTTCTTCAAGTACCTAGCAAGTTTGCACAATCAAATCTTTGGCACTGTTTATTCATTTTTGCTTTTAACTAAAGTAGTTCTATTATTTTTAAGCTTTTTAAAAGAATTTCAGGGGATTATGAAGGACCATCAATTGCACTGTCCTGTCCTAAAAAGTAG